GTTGTCGACGGTGAACTCGCCGGCGCGGTAGTGCGCCCAGCTGCCCTGTTCCGCCAGGTAGCGCTCCGACGAGGCGGTTTGGCGGCCGTTGGAGGTGGACAGTTGGAACCTGACGGGTTTCTTGTCCCAGCCGTGAACCTGGTCCGAGCTGCTGACGCGGCGGCCGCCGATGAACTGTTTGGAGGCGGCGGATGGCTTGCCGAGGTGGAGCTTGAAGAAGAGGGTGTAGGTGCCAGCGGGGAAGTGGAAGTCGTCCAGCTCCCCAACCACTTCCAGCCACCACGTTTGCTGAAGATACGCTATCTGTTTGAACCTGTATTATATATATATATTGTGCACATTATATACGTACGGTTGGCAAAAAGATATCGTAGAATATTGCATTCGTGACGATTGGTGTTTGTATTATTGAAGTATGCATATATGGATATTAGAGTTTCCATGCTTCAACTGAAAGGCAGAGGCAGAGTGCAATATTTGGCTTCCTACGTAATGGGAATTGTGGAAGTATGAATAATTAAATCTCTCTATCCGAAACTTGATCATGTTTCAAGGGATTGGAGTGTATTTAATTGGCGGCTGTTGGTCAATGGTTTTAGGAGTAAATTGATCCCTACAAGTGGGAATGATCCGGACCAAATTGATATAAAAATAGAACCAGATCGTTAAAAAGGAATTCACTATGGAAACTTAAATCGAAATCTACTTTGACCATGCCTATTGAATCTAGAATCAATTAGTGGTTTAGTGTGAAGATGAGATTATTCAGTTGTAGTTACCACGTATACAGGGGTCATGCAATAATTCGATCTACTCCACATCAAATCAACATTTAATTCATACCGGACTGGATCGAACATAAAGCGATACAAATTCAGTTTCGAAAATCCCTTAAACAGACCGAATAGAATCAAATGCACACGAACAAGGGTTTGGTCAAGTGGTAATACCACTAATCTAGAACCTGGAGATTCCAGGTTCAAATCCCTTAAATAGTACCTTATTAAAAAAAAAAACCTATATCACCTTGGTGCCATAAACTCATAAACCATTATTATTGTGTCGAAGAAATTGGGAAGGCACGGGGAAATTTAGAAATCCCAAATGAGAGCTACCCTTTCTCTGGTGGACATGGATTGGGCTCAACTAGGTGAATGTGATGGAATCTAGCAATCCACAAAAGCATTCCATCAACACCATGATTACACAATCTAACCCACTTGGGCAAAGTATGTGATGAATCTAGCAAGTAGCAACACAGTAATAGTGCCCACCCATCTACATCTTAAGCTATGGCCCAGGAAGATATCATTTCCCAATTGAGATATTTTATATGAAACGAGTTTAACAGCTTTTGTTGCGGTCAAGAACAGCGACACAACCGGCAAACTAGGGGTGTCAATTCGGTTTCCGGTTAGCGGTTAACCGGCTGGTTTAACCGTTGACCACCGGTTAACGGCTAACCGGAAACAGAAATTTATATGCAGCGGTCGGTTGTCGGAAACATAATAGGGTTAGCCGGTTAGCCGAGTAACCGAAGCCGGTTAACCGGCTAACCGACGCTAACCGACCGACGATACGGCGTCGTTTTGGCTAAGAGGAAAAACGACCAAACCCTAGGCTCGTTCTTCTTCGCGACTTCGCCTCTTCGTCCAGCAGCCTCCATCCTCTATTCCTCTTCGACCTAACCCTCTTCGCTCAGCCTCCATCCTCCCTCACGACCGGCGACCCCCAGCCCTCCGACCCCCCGCCGCCTCCACCTCGACGTCGCCCCGCCCTCCGACCCCCAGCCCCAGCCCTCGCCTTCCGACCCCCAGCCCTCCGTCCCTCACGACGAGTCACGACCGCCGCTTCCACCTCGACGTCGCCCCGCCGCCCTCCTTCTCGTCGCCCCGCCGCCTCCACCTCGACGTCGCCCCGCCGGCCTCCTTCTCGTTGCCCCGCCGCCCTCCAGAAGGAAGCAGCAGTTTCAATCGCCAATTTTGAAGCAGCTCGTCCCCCTTTCCCCCTCCAGAATTATGTATGTCGAATGATTTTGGTGGATTGGTGATGATTTTGGTGGATTTATGTGGAATTGTCGATTGTCCAATGATTTTGGTGGATTGGAATGGTGGTTTTGGTGGATTTATGTCGATTGTTGAATGCTTTTTGGTGGATTGGTGTTTGGTGATGATGCTGCAAGGGGTTTTGTTTGAGCAGTTGGTCTTGTTGAGGTAAGGGAAGGAAGAAGAGATGGTGGCGCGTCGGTTTATTTCGGTTTTCGGTCGGTTTATTTCGGTTTTCGGTCGGTCAGACCAGCAGACCGAACCGCCCTTCCCTTTTTCGGTGTCGGCGGTTTAACCGTGCCTTAACCGAAACTGCCCGGTCGGTTTTCGGATAACCGAGGTGCCAGGGTCGGTCGGTGGCCGGTGGTGACAGGTCAGGTCTCGGTTTAACCGAAAACCGAGATTTCGGTTTTCGGTTAAACCGAAACCGACCGGGTGACAGCCCTACGGCAAACCCAATTATTTTCCCCCATTCTTCATTAGGTCATAGGTATTGAAAGCTGCTGCTTAACCAAAATTCAACATAGTAATTTGCCTAATCTGTCATCGCAATAGCCCATCACTATCACAAATACATGGGTGGAAGTATAAAAAATAAAAAAAAAAAGGAAAGCAAAATAGCCGCCGGAGTTACCTGGACTCGTCGGAGGGAATATGGGTCCAATATCGGCGGTCATCGATCCCCGTGATCCTCATTGCCTTGTACGAAACCAACACACAGACTTTGCCGCTGCTCTTCTCCAGCCAAACCATCTAATTAAAGACGCAATTTTCCTTTTTAAGCTCCCTCAACCATTAACGTTAATTGACTGGTTAGGTAGTAATGTGGATTTCATTTCCTACCTTGTTTTCGTCATCGGCGAAGCAATTGGGCGCGCAGAGCCGGGAGTAAATCTCCTTCCGGCTGCTCTTCTCCGGCGTCGTTTTGTCTCCCAGTACTTTCTCCACCAGGAACTTATAATTGGAGGGCAGTTTGGTCTCCCAGACAAAGTCGGCCCACGAGGCGCCGCGGAAGGCCCTGTTCAGCCCCGCCAGCCGGCAAATCTCCGGCGGGTCCAAGCACACGAGAATGGACGCCGCGCAGCTCTCCGGCACGTCGCCGAGAGAGGTCCTCCCGTCGTCTCGATCTAGTAAGTCGGAGAAACCAGCTCCCATCAAAGAAAAGTTTGAAAATGTTGAGATTGACCGATCGGCAGGGTGCTGGGGAGAGAGGTGATTGTAGATCTGGGGAAAGGGATTGGGAATTTTGTGGGGTGAATGGAAAGGAAGAAGTAGTTAGTTTGGAAGGGCTTTAGTTTAGTGGTAGAGGAGGAGGTGGTAGAGGCGAAAGGAAGGCGGGGCAGGGAAGGGAGAAGGCGCCACCATTTTCTTCTTCCCGCTCTGTTTCTGTGACAGAGAGAGGGAGACAGGAATGGTTTAATAAATGGAGTAAGGGTGACGCGAAGAAGAAGAAGAATGGGGAGAGAGAAAAGGTTGGGTTGGAATAAAGTGAAAATTCTTTATTGTCGCTTTCTTTTTGTTACACGGTCCCCCATTTTAAATGCTTTAATCAATTTGTTTTAAAAAGAAAATTAAGGTTATTTCTTACAGCAAAATGAAGGAGGAAACGAGCTAAGATCAGTTGATTAACGGAGTTCTCTTAGTTATGTGATTAAGTGCATCTCAGTTATCCAACCTCATTTAAATTTAATGATTCTAATTTAACTTGCCAACTTATACTATGCAAACATCGTTTCTGTCGGCTAGTGTCAGAGAGTACATTGATAAGAAGCTTCGAGCTTTCATTTGGGTAAGCTCAGAGGCAGGGCGTAAGACTCACTTAGTAGATTGGGATACAATCTGTCGGCGAGAGAAGAAGGGGGACTAGGACTTTGCAATGCTACGAGGATGAATGAAGCCTTCATGATAAAGATTGCTTGGAGATTGACTGCAGAGCCGGATAGCTTATGGGTCGAGGTCATTCGGGCAAAGTATTTGATTTAAAACCACAGATGGGTGGCAGCCGCGAGTTAGTGGTAGACTCTCTACCTCTAGCGGGGTGTGCTGCGCATCCTGCACCTCCTGCTGCAAGCTCTTATGTGGAACGTTCAAAGTGGAGCTCATACCCGATTCTGGACGAACAGGTGGCTTCAGGATGGGCCAACTTTGGCAGAACACGGTTGCTGAGCTGGTCCTAAACGGGGAATGGAACCTGCCTTTCTGTGATCTTTCCTAGCGGAGGATGTTATTCAGCAGATTCAGCTGCACCAGCCACCGCAAAGCCAAGCGGATGACATTCCAATATGCGGCTGACATCGGATGGAACTTTCTCCCTCAAGACAGTGTACGCACTCACCGATGATCAGGAGCAGCCGAATGGTACACACCAGGTGTGGCGAGGAGTTTGGTGAACGCCAGCAACGCAACGGGTCCGAGCCTTTTTCTGGCTTGCGGCGCATCGTTGTTAGCTTACCAATCAAAGACGCCATTTAACGGATTCAACAGCCTGCCCGATTTTGTGGTGGGGATGAAGAGACCACCCTTCATGTCATTCAGGATTGCTCTTTCGCACGGGCAGCTTGGGCCGAATTTCTGGGTGGAGAGTCCGATGAAGTCTTCTTCTAGGAAGATCAGTCAAAATGGATGTTACACTATCTCTCGGGGAGGAGCGCACATGTTGACGCCACAAGGTTTGCTGTTCTTTGTTGGATGCATTGGAAGAACCGAAACACCCATGTTTTTTAAAAGAAGCTGGAGCATCCGAGTAGTATCTGTCGAAGAGCTGTCGTCCTACAGTAGCAGATAGCGGAAGCTGCAACAAAAACGGGGGCAATTTTTGGCGGGCACAACACCTACTCACGACAACTGATCAACTGGAAACCTCATCGCCAGGGGTGGGCTTGCTTGGACACCGATGGGTCGGTGGTGTAGAGTCATGCAGGTGCAGGAGGAGTTATTAGAGATGTAGATGGACGAATGTTGAGGGCTTTCGCTCGGAATCTAGGGGAGGGAACTATCACTCGAGCTGAGATAACGAGGTTGGTACATGGACTTCAAGCTGCCTGGGAGATGGCGATCAGGAAATTGATCGTGCAGACGGACTCAAGGACGGCTATTCAGCTAATCACGATGGCGGGTTTTCGTCACCCACGCTCAGCTATGATCTTGGAAGCTCAGAGACTCCTCGCTCAGGATTGGGAGGTGGAGCTTCATCATGTGTTTAGAGAGGGTAATGTTGTTGCTAGACCTGGCAATCGGGTCGGGTCGGGTAATTTCGGTTTGAGAACTTCGGTTACGGGTCGGGTCATATTTGGTTGGCTTATTTCGGGTCAAATATTGGCCCAACCCATTCGGTTTCGGGTCGGGTTACAGGTCATTTCGGGTTATGAGCGTTCTCAGAAACAATATCAAACATGCTTCATATTTTCTTAAAGAACACAAATTTTCACATATGCACGACAATAGTTTACCTAACACATGTCAATTAACAAGTTCTCAAATCCTCCCACGCTAATGAAATGAAATATAAATTGTGCAAATCGTCAAAAAACAATCACAAGATTAATACTACTACAAGAAACACATGATATTTGATTATCCTTAAACTCCAAACATGTCATTCAAATCCTTGTGATTTTTTTTAAACACCTCACCAATTTATGAGTTATTTTATCATATTTTGGTAGTAGTATATTAAATGGAACGAGTCTAACGGATCAACCCGCTAACCCACCCAACCCGACCCAAAAAATCAAGGGTTATCGGGTTCGGGTCAACGGGTCGGGTTGTAATTTTCCAGGTCTAGTTGTTTCTGATTAATTGGCGTCCCTAGGCCATGGCCTCCCGCCGGGTGACCACAATATCACTACCCCCTGCCCGATGCTCTCATATTGGTTGTATTATGACTCGGTTGGGGTTAGCTTACCCCGTTTGATCCCTGATAATGTTTAAAGGTTGGAGCGCCCTTTAGTGCTCCGTTTACCACCAAGAGAGAGAGAGAGAGAGAGATTTTCCGGCAACGGCGGATGAGGCTTTTCGGCAACCGACGACAGCGGAGGAGGAGTTTCCGGTTGCTATGCTGGATTCGTGATGTTTGTCGACATATTTTGTAATGTTTTAAAAGTTCAGTTTGTAATGTTTATATCAATTGGGTTTGTAGAGTTTATCATTCTAGTTTGTTATTTTTGTCTATTGTGTTTGTACAGTTTATATGACTATTTTGTATATATATTTTGATTTATAATATTTGTTAGTCTAGTTTGTATACTTTATGTTATGATTTGTATACTTTGTATTCATTGATTTGTAATACAACTTTACCAATTTGTATTGTAAGTAGTGTTTTTTGTATTGTTTGTATGCTTTGTAATGTTTGTCGGTTTATTATGTACTATTTGTAAGCTTTGTTATATTGTAATGTTGGTAAGCTTTGTTACTTTTGTCAGTCATGTTTGTAATATTTTTTATTTAGAAAAAACATCCTCATATATATAGATATGGAGCCTCCAAAGTCAACCCGGGTGTTTTCTCTTTTATATGGTTTGTCAGTCTAGTTTGTCATTTTTGTCAGACATGTTTGTAATGTTTGTATGTCTAAAAAACAACCGGGTTGACTTTCGGATGGTGCCCCTGTATATAGGGATGGAGCCTCCAAAGTCAATCTGTTTGTATAGTTGGTATGTTTGTATTGTTTGTAAATCTGTTTGTATGTTTTATCGTTCTAATTTGTACCGTTTGTACTGTTTGTAAGTCAGTTTTGTATACTTCGTAAATTTTCATAATACCGAAACTACCCCTGTTAATAATTAAAATGCCCTTCCCATTTTTATCCATTGGATTGCTGTGTCCAGATCTAAAAATTGGGAGGGGCTTAATCAAGTGACTAAGCACCCCTAGTCACATGATCCGCCCTCGAAGGAAACCCCAAGACTTGAATGAAGCAGAAACCCAGAGGAAATCTAAGAAAAAACAGAGTCTCCATTCATTCTTCCTCATAGTGTTGTCGCATGAAAAACGGCTCCTACCATGGATATATCATATAACAAAGTTTATTTTAATTTTTCAAAATTATTTGAAATGCTTAATTTCATAAAATATTAAGATGACATCAAAATTAGTTTTCAATTTGAAATTACAATAACCTTTTATCAATGATAGTACATTGTATTTTTAGCGATTATAACACTTAATTATAGGGGTTGCAAGTTGCAACATTAATTATGGTTCAGACCATCACTGCATTCACTCTACTTTTTTTCAATCCAAATGTCAATTTGATTCGATACGAATACGATCAAACCATTCGTTTGGTTTTGGTAATAGTTAGGTTGTGATAGTTACAATACATGTATTGTCCATAATGCATCATTTTTTTTTTAAATTTTATGCACAAAAAGTACATGTATTGTTTGCTTGATTTGACACAAACTATCACTCAAAATGAGTGATAGTTAAATCTCAAGTTTTGGTTGAGATTGTTTGGTAGAGATTGTTGGGTTTTGTTTTGTTTTGTTCCAACTATGTCCCTACCTTTTTATATGTGTTGCTTTTTTAATATTAAAAACAAATGGCAAAAGTGACATTTCATCCAAAAAGTAATATCTTATTTTAATTTTGAATAACTATCACAAAAACCAAACAATGTAAACTACAATACACCAGTTTTCTTTATACATGTATATTATTATGCATGCATTGATGACAATGCATCAATTTAATTATCACTAAAACCAAACGACCCTTAATAATGTAGTCCCTTAATTTTCTGTGATGGAAAAGAAAAACTAGCATAACAAAAAAAGAATTTGGATGACAAAACCCAAAATAACGTATTATCATCACACACTACAAGAAAAATGGCTTTTTGCAACCAATAAAATTGGTTCCTAAAGATCAAAAATTAGTTATAAATACCTTTTTGCGACCAAAATATTTTGGTAGCAGCATTGGTCGCTATAGCCGCGTTACTAATTCCTAGCGCAACCAAAATGTGGATTGGTAGCGAAAAAGAAAGCTTTCGCAACCAAATTCACCAATGGTAAAAAAACCTTATTTTTTCGCGACCATTTTAATTTGGTTGTCATAGTCCAACTTAATGGTTGGGAAATATAATTGATTGGTCGCAAAAAATAAAAATGACAACCAATTTGATGTGGTTATTAGTAACTTATTTTTTTGGTCGCAAATAGAATTTGCGTACGTTTATAGGTGACCATTCAATTTGGTTGGGAAATTAACATATGTCAACCAATTATATCATTGCAACAACCAATTGATTAAGTTACGAAAATTTAACACAACTATGAAATTTGGTCGTGAAAGACACATATCCCGACCAATTATATCATTTTAGACGACTAATTATATTTGTTATAAAAGTTTAACACAACTATAACAATTGGTCGTGAAAAACACATATCTCAACCAATTAAACCATTTTGGTGACCAATGGAATTGGTTATGAAAGTTTAAAAATTAATAGAATTATCGTAAAAATGAAATTTGGTAGATGAGATTTGGGTCACTAAAATGAAAATATTAAAAATTAATAGAATTATAGTAAAAAATTATTTCATATAACAAAATAGTTTACCAACCAAAATTATCCACACACCATATCCATGTCATCTAATCTGACACCTGCAGCGACAAGTTTTACAGCTGCTTTCTCCAGCGCTTCGCGACCTTGTGGGTACATCTGCTGTGATCTCTAATCTTCGACTCCACTCAGCAGCCAATTTTGGGAGTACTCTTCACTCAGCAGCCAAAGCATAACAAGCTTCTGTTTGTCAAAGTGCAGGTGACCGACTTTTGAAACTTACTTCAGAAACATTTTCACACTCATCATTGCCACTTCCATCACCATCTTCTTCCTCTTCATCATCTCTCGCCTGTTTCAATTCTACTAACCATATCAACCTGCACCTTAGCCTTGTCAAACTCATTTAACATTCAGAGCTGCCTAGCCACATCCCCACAAATCGAAACATCAACAACGACTCCACTCTCATGCATCGCGACAAGCAAATCACAAGATTCGGACTCCATTCCTTTCCTGCAAAACCCATCAGTTAATGTGCTGAGAAAACCCATTCATTGTAAAATAAGAAAAGTTTGATCATTAATTAACTGGAGGCATATAATGGAAGTTCACTGTAAACTTGAAGACATGATGGGAATTGGGAAAGCAGAGGCACCATTACTCACCTGTTAGAGTCACCTCCATACGCAGAGATGTTGTTGCTGATAATCAGTGGAATTATGGATTTCTAAATTCCCATGCTTCCATGATTGATCATCTCAGTTCACGATTCACCATTAAATTATGAAGCTCCTCTTGAGATCCTACTGCTTTTACTACAAAAAAGATACACAAATAAACCAAAATCAGTAGGCTCCAATGTTTATGCTCCACCAACAGGATGACATTCACATTCATGAAAACAATACCATTTTACTAACATAAGGTAATAAGCAACTAACTTAGGGTGACTACTGCCTGAGAATCTTTTTCATGACAATAGATAGATAGATAGAGAGAGAGTGAGAGAAAGGGAGCGCTAGATTATTACCTTAGATTAGGGGAGTACAATCATGAAGAGCTCTGATTGGAGCATCTTTGTCTCCTACGCTGCTGCCGTTTGATTATTACCAAGTAGTTCGATCAGCCTGTTTTTGTTTCTGTTTCTTTCTATCCATTATGTTCTCTTCTCTTCTCTTCTTTTCTAGCTGTTTTGGGTTTAGTTTATGGCTGGCTAGCCAGCTTGTGTACATATGTGGGTTTCCCAGCTTTTATAGAAAATTTCTTCACATCAATCGATATATAGATGATCTCAATGAAATTGTTGTTCACATGAAGACATTAATTTATTTGTTCCTTGTCAGTTGTCACTACTGCTTGTAGAACTGCTCTGATCATTAATATAAGATATTCTTCGCAGTAATTGATTAATATATATTTATGCTTCACCCCTCAGCTAAGTTTGGAAAAATGAATTGAAGAAGGATACATACCAGATCTAACCTCCGATCGAGCGAGCAACTACCAGTCTCCTCCTCTTCTCTGTCTGTCATCAAGTCAGCAACTAGCTAGCTGGTCTTCTCATTGACAGGCCCAATTTCATTTTTTTCTTCTCCTCAATCTCGACCGTGCTGGGCTGATAGTAAAACAACACCATAGACCTGTCAACATTCTCTGCATCACTAGTCCTTGAATCGAGTACACTACTCCTGACGATATAATCCCCTGCAAATTCATTCACCATGTTATTTACGGAAACACAAACACCCAGTAATGGTTGAAATTTCCGACTTTGTGGTGGCCTTACACTATAGAAAGCAGCTAGTAACTCGGTGTCGAAACCAATTGTCCATGCTGAAGGGTTCTTCCACTCCAGACCAACTGCCACTACTGATCCCTCCATTGCTCCCATCATGCATATTAGAGCTGTTAAGGACAGCTTCCCAGGGTATGATTCCAATGTGATTGCCTACACGATCAATTTAGAAATTAATATTTTTTTGAGGAACTAATTAAGCTTATGCTAGGGAAACTATGTAGGGTGTTGATCTGAGAAAAGGTTAACTACTTGGAGATTGACAAAACCAGCCCAGCAAACGCAGCCGATGGCGATCATGAGAGCACCCCTGATAGGATGCTCTGGAAACCCAGATGCATCAAAGTCCTCCATAATACTCCATTGGCCAAGTGTGGAATGAATATGCGACCCCAGAAAGGGTAATAAGGGCCTGGCAATTTGATCAATGCAAAGAAGGCTGCAATCGCAATCAAATGCCATGGAACTTCCGCATCCTGCAAACAACACTCAATGGACAGTTCAATCAGTTTAAACCTCTGAACTACTGTTCATTCTTCTCTGCCACTGAGAAAGGAACATCAACTAAAGAACACCACGATTCTGCTCCCTCAAATTTTCACTAGCATCGTACAATAATAAAAATCATCCATGCCATAAACATACTTAAGATCAAATGAACTCCTACTGAATGTCAAACTCAACACGACCTGACCAAGAACCAAAGAAGATGGTCTAACCTTGAGGAGTGGGGACAGTTCAAAAGCAAAGTATCTTAAGAACCCAGCAACAGCAAAGCCGATAAGTAATGGAAACGTGACAAGGACCAATACTACTTCAGAGCCTCTAACTCTGCTCTCCTTCCCCACTTCTCTCTCAGTTATCTCCTCACACCTTAAAAATTGCTCTCATTTTTGTAAAGTATGGACCACTACTTCTGGCTAGTGGCCACATTCAGTACTTGTAAAGAATAATAAGAGTTATAAGAGGTAATTGTTGCTTCTCCTTGTACCAATCTGCATATGTTTTGAGGTTGATCCCTAATCATACATTAACATGCTAATAGTTGCGGAATCAAAATGATTCTCAAGGTTACACTCCCTCACATAAAAGCAGTCAGATTGATAGTTGATATCAGTAGACTCCACATGATTCTCATACACAGAAGAAGAAGCAAACAAATTGAAGGGAAGAAAGTTCGAATCCCACCACACCGAGATCCTACAGAAACCTTCCACAAAACATGAACAAGCACCTCTGAAGCCTAGCCATCGATGCCACACAACGAATTAGAATATCGATAACTGATCAGTTCTTACCCGACGCACGGACCAAGGGCGAGATCGGAGAGACGAAGGAGAAAGCATCGGTTCCTTCGGCGGCAGCACTACTCGCGATCAAAATCGCAGCAACGCTGGCGAGGGATTGGAGCGGCGCTCGTGCTCTAGGCTGGCGTATGTGCCTTCTCCTCTTCCTCGGCCGTCGCCGACGCCGACACCGACACAATCGGCCGCAATCGAAGTCAAAGCGGAGTCGTCTTGACGACGATGGGGTGCTCACAGACGCTGGCGAGGGATTCGATCCGGAATAGTCTAGAAAACAGGAGTTGTTACGAGAAGAAGCGGAGAAGGAATTGGCCAAAAATGGAGGCGAGATATTTGGCGATCAAAATCACAGTGATCGATTTCAGATCGGCGAAGGAGGAGAGATCTCTGACGGTACCTCAGCTAGGATCTGAAGTTACCTTTTGAGAATCGATCGGGAGGGAGGAATTATTGAGCGAAGCAGACGAACTCTTTGCTTGCTTGAAACCGTGATTCCTCTGGAGACTGGAGAAGAGGAAGAGTTGGAGTCAGAATCGAAATCGAAATCGAAATCGAAATCGAAATCTGAATCGAGAAGAAGAGGAGGAGAAACCGAATGGAATCGACATGATCGAGGAGACAGAAGAATAAGAGGAGAAGGAGAAATCGGATGGATTCGAATTACCAAAACCTTGTCTCTTACCCGACCACTTGGATGGGATCGAATTCACCTCTGACAAAGGATTTGTCGAGAGACTTAATAGTGAACGCTAATATTGGATTGTTTTGTTCAAAATTATTATGACAGCCCCTATGTTTTAATAATAGTCAGAATAGTACCTACATTTTTATAAAACACTATGACAACCATATAATTTAGTTGCTGTAAATTTTTTATTGAATTTGCAACCAAATTATTTAGTTATATCTCAGATTTTCAAATTTCTTGCTTAAATTCATAACCAATCATATTTGGTTGGAGAAAGTAAAAATCAATATGCTACCAAATTATTTGGTTGGAAAAAGTAAAAATCATTTTGCTACCAAAAATTTTTGGTTGGAAAAAGTAAAAATCATTTTGCTACCAAATCATTTGGTCTCTTCAAGTTTTATTTGGTTATCAATATTTTGACTTTAATAGACAACCAAATTTTTAATATTTTAGCTACCAAAATATAATTGGTTGTATATACTATCCTTTTTACAACCAATTTTAGTTTGGTTGTAAAAATTTTGGTTGCAAAAGCTAGTTTTTGTTGTAGTGACAGTCGAGATCAAAGTAGGAGAAAAACCACCATATGTCTGATTAAACGTAGCAAAATTGAGTTCTTTTTGCTGTTCTCAGTGAAAAAAAGAGTGGCGCGGGGGAAGAAAATGAACGGGATGGATTGGATAATGAAGAAAGGGCTACTAGAAAAGAAGGCGTGGGAATGAGTGTGCATGGAATGGCATATTATTTATTAGGATTTGGGCCGTTGGTTTCATTTTTCTCCTATCCACACACGGATTTGTTGATTTTTGGAATTTCTCTAGCGTGTGGGAGGAAAGGAAACTCTGTTTGCCCAACCCCTCCTTAAGAAATAAGAATAGAATATATGCCCAAAATAATTGAGTCGTTTAATAAATAAACAAATCAAGAATATGTGCACATAGGTACAATTACAAAGAATATCTTCTATTCTTTTTCATCACCTTTGTGCAGACGTTGGATCAGTGGGAAGCTAATGAGTTAAAGTCATGAAATGGCGGTATATATATTCTTGCAGTAGCTGCACATGGCTACTACGACGACCTTAATTGTCTTAAATAAGATTCTAATTTAATCCCCTCGTGTTTAGCTTCCACGGCATAATTTCAACTGTTTTTTAGCACTAATTTAATAGTTGCATTAAGTGTACTACTACCATAGTTAGTAAAATACGGTACGGGAAAGTTATGTATAAAATATGTATGAGTATTTTACTTTGTCTTTAAGCTAATGTTACGTTTAATAGTATCTTAATAGTCATATATATAAAAAAAATAATTATTTGAAAAATAAATAAACATATAAATAATAGTAAAATTAGCAATTTAATTCATTAAATACGGATATTAAACGTGCTATACGGGTTTTTTATGTGTTTACTACGGGATCCATCAAATGAACGGGAAAAAATGAAATATCTTGACAATAATACGGATACATAAGTTTTAAACAGATAAAGTACGTACGAATACGTGTATTAAACGGAGTATTTAATCCACTACTAGTCATTCCTAATCCTAACATTTGACTTCTTAACTATAAAGTATAAACTAATTAACTAGCTAGAAACGATGGCCGGTAAACTAGAACTCCTATTATGCTCATAGGTAACGGTGTTTTCATTTAAAAAATAAAATGTTCGGCAAATTCAATTTTACAAATTTTCTCAACATATATAATTTTATTTGTGACGAGTCTTAATCGTCACAAATGACTAACCCTGTTGTGACAATTTTGTGGGTAACAAATAGTAATATTTTCGTGACAATGCTATCATCAATAAAGATACCTTTTGTGACAATTTAGTGATGACACTAAAATCAAAATAGTGACATGTTCAAGTGTCACAAATAATTGTTATCTATCACTATAATTGTTATCCAGGGGACAGATTTGTTGTCACTAAAGTGACTATTTGTGACATATGCAACACTATGTGTGATGAATTAGGTTCGTCACTGATAATGTACATTCATGACTATATGAATGTCACTACAGGATATCGATCATTTTAATGAAAAAAATTTCATCACTGAAGCAACGTTATTATACAATGCATGTTGCCACAAAAAAGATTTTAAGTGACAAAGTTTGTTGTCACTTCTCATATGAGCTGCAACAATTTTTCTTATGACTAATTCAAAGGTTTTTTTTTTCCCAAGGCAAGCCCAAAGGGCATGGGACAAAGACTTGATACAATTACACACTAGCTCAAAAATTGCACGATAGTCCGTATGCAACCGGACTACGATGAAAGAGCCTGATAAGCCACTACTGATGGCGTGATTCTCTCACAAACCATGCAATCAACAAAGAAGTATTGTTGTGACGAGAATGGTTACAACATAGCAGACAAAAATATCTTTGAACTCTATTGTTATTAGAAGATACTAAATAGTATTACATAAAACTTAAAACCATAAATGCATGGGAGACTGATGAGGTTCTCTCTTGTCATCGTCAAATTGGAGAGTTAATTCCGAAGACAAAAATTCTTCCATGGCTTTCAAATGCTTTCCTCAAGGTCAGTAAGGTGTACTTGCAACTTCTTGTTTTGCGCTCCTAACTGTGCCTCTAATCGTAGATGATATTCTTAACTCGACTTTACCTCTGAATGGAAGGAGACAAGAAAATCCGATTAGAAAGCATAGTAACCGTCAGTAAAGGAGAAAGCAGATTATATAAGCACAGTATGTTAGCGACCTTTTAACCTCTAATACGCCCCCTCAAACGAAAGCCGATGCCGAATTGTGGATTTTTACGGTTTGCACAGGTTGAACCCTTGTGCTGCCAAACCACGAGATTCGAAACCATGACCTTTCGGTTCTAGGCTCTGATACCATGTTAGCGAACTAATCACTTGGTCCCAATAACTCGAGTTGTTGGGAAAGGGATAGTTAAGCCTTTTAACCTTTAATACCGTACCCCAAGAGCACAGAAGAGTAGAGACGTAGGTTGATTACGATCGACGAGCTTGTCGAAGAATCAGATGAGTCGACCGATCAGGATTCCACCCATGGAGATTGGTAGGCGGCTGGGAAAGATGAGAGGAAGGGAGGTTGATTGGGAATTTTTTATTGTAGTAGACTGAATAACAAATTCAGAGCTTTTGTAATTGTGGAGGGTTTATGCCCTTAGGCGGCGTGGAAAGGCAAGAGAAGGGCTTCTGTAACTTGATACGATAACATGTTAATGTGGTAACTAATTCGAGATGAAGGCAAACGTAATCCCGCCAGATCTTCTCCTTCCCAATATATTTTTTTTTTATTTTTTTGTCTACCCAATATTTGGGTTTATCTCTTTGTAGTTAATTTGTATTACAATATAATTTAAGCAAGCGAATGTGGACTGCCGAAGATAAGACCCATCATCATCGAGAAAGAAAGCTATGATTATTCGAGGAGGTATGACGTTACTAATTAACCGAAACACTGGAACTAATCTGATTATCCGGCCTTCTCTGCGCTGCTTGAGAATTTTTAGGCAGGGGGTTCACGCCGGAGACTTTATCTCGAGCAGGGGAATTTCACGAAGAGAAGTATGAGAAAATTGTCTCAATTTGGGTAAAGTTGGGAGAAGTGAATTCTTGCTTGATTAAAGATATTTTCATATGAATAATTTTCAGAAGTTTGTGTTTCTTGTTGGAGTGAATTTCATAAGTTAGTTGTCACATATAACATGAAAAGTGACAACTCTTTTTTGTCATACTTGTGATGATTTTAACCAATATATATTAGAAGTTATCAATACATACCTTTTGCAGCAAAAAAATCATTTCTAATATAAGTGTTGCATAAGGATAACAAGCGCAACCCATTTTTTAAGGTAATTAATTTTGGTTGCGTAAATGATCTAATACGCAACTCTGTTGGGGATATTAATTATTTAGTGAAAAATAATTAATTCCTTGTCCTCCAAGTAATAGAAAGTCAAGTTGTTCAGGAGATGCAGTCAACCATCTCCACCATATCATACGGAGAGACGCAGTCAATCGTCTCCGTCAAGTCATTCAAGAGACGCAATCGACCGTCTCCGTCAGGTCGTTCAATAGACGTAATCAACCGTCTTTGTAACGACGTTCAAGAAGATGCAGTCAACCGTCTTCATCAGGTTGTTCAAGGGAGAGAGTCAGTCGTCTCCAAATCAACCTCGTCCGAGATGTTATTCATCTCGAGTTTTAATGTTCAAGCTTGTCATGCTTGTTCGTCACATTTCCTTTTTCAAGCTCGACATTCTTGTCACTCATGTCTTCGCTTGAGGGGGAGTGTTGAGGATATTAATTATTTAGTAAAAAATAATTAATTCCTTGTCCTCCAAGTCCCTTGTTTCCTTGTCCTTGTCAAAGAAGGAAACTTTGTTGTCATTAGGGTTTTAACCCTACGTCTATATAAGCTTAGCTACGGAGACTGTCGTAAGCAAGCCGTCACAATGTAGTCGTTCAATAAAACGTCAGCCGTGAGCTCTTTCGAGCTCACCGTGGATTAGTCTGGATCAATCGATCGAGGATACCACGTAAAATCCCTTGTGTTCTCGTGTTATTTCATATTTCCGCATCATCAATTTCTACAAACTCTAAAAAAATGTGTTGCTATTATATATATAACGCAACACTTTAAAATAGTGTTGCAATCCAAGTGTTGCAAGATGTCCTTTTTCCTGTAGTGAGAAGATCCAAGGAAATTTGAATTTCTTTTATTATTTTCTAAAGAGGATTTCCCCAATTGATGATGGAATGGAGATGAATGGATAGATTTATAGAGGTCTAGGTTTGTTTATCTGTACAAGAGAGAAGGAGAGAGGAAGGAGAGGCACTGAGGTAGAGAGACTGCCGCCTGCCGGTGGGATAAAAAGCTAGTTGTCAATTGTGGGGTTTTCCCAATTTAATAGACACAGAATGAATTTAACGGGGGAGCTAAAATTGTCAAAAATGAAAAAAAACTACCCATATAA